TACTGTAGCACTTTTATGAATTCTTCCTTGTTTTTTCCTCCCTTTCTGTGAAAAGTTTGGATATACCTCAATTTTATTCTCTTGAATTCTTTTTTTCAAGTAGTTCCAGTGCCTCTTCTTCCTCAAAATAATTTTTTAGCTTTGCCTCTTGGTTATTTGCTTGAGTTACTCTATCTTGTTTCTTTATATGAACAGAAATTATCTGCTGCTTTGTAGACATTGTGATTCTGTTGTATTTGTATTAAGTTTATGAATGTATGTTGGTATATTCTTAGGCACTCACCAACTGCCTCTTGGTGGGTATGCTCAGAAGATGAGTTTCTCTGTTCACTGTTTGTACAGTTCAATTAAGAGTGGAATTAGCTGGTTGTAGTTGCTGCTCTGGTGTATAGCAGTTGGTATTGGCTCTTGCCCAGTTGATAGTGTTGTACAGGATATGGCTGTGGCTTGGCTGTATGGCCACAGTTTCTGTCTCTTGTTGTGTGAGGCAAGAAGAAGGAAAACAAACAACAATAACAAGCAAAACAGTCCACACAGTGAAAAATGAAAGTTAATAACTTTTTCCCTGCCAATAAGCGGTGTGCTACTCCACATATTAGCCTCTTGCCTTCATAGGTGATTGAGGAAGTTCAAAATGGATACACTGCATCTAGTGGGCACATACAAATCACCCACCTTTTATCCTTCTGTTTTGTTTTGTTTTCCCCCTTACATTTTCTACCCACGCATCCATTCAACCCCCTCTCCTAGTGAAAGCTAGTTTGGGGCTGGCAAGAATCGACTTTGCAGATTTGTATCAGAGCCTGCCCTAGTGGGTTTATTGTATGTATCTCCTCCAGGGTCTCACAACTTCCAAGTGGCTTTGACTACATGGAAAGCGGGAGATTCCTGGAGTTGTATGTTGGTCGGAAAAAAGGGAACAAAATGCACCTTTGACTTCGTGAGCCCACATTTCTACAACGTGGATATTTTCCTTGTCTCTAAAGCCTATGAATTTTCAAGATGGCTGCGCCAGGTTCTGTTGGCTGCCACAGCTTATTAGTCACCTCATCTCTTGCTGCATCTATTCAGCTCTCTCTCCAAATAACTCTTGATCCATTTTCAATCCCTTCCACTGGAGCTCAGAGTTCTAGGACCAAATGTATTGCATCTGTGAGATCCACATATGTAATATCCACTTATGATGCTGAAAAAGATATTTGTAAAAAAGCTATTTGTATCTGTCTCTGGCTTCCTGCATCCTTGCTGCAGAGAGCCCACACAGCTTTTCTGCCTAGTCTGCCATCTTTCTCCTCAATCTACTGCTGGGTAAATTTTAATATTGGCTTTGGAACTAATAAATAGTGAAAATATAAGGAGTTAAGTTTAAGCATGAATGGATTACATATTATCAGTCACAGCAAATAGCATGATCATCTTGGATAACAAAACAAACTACCCTGAGAAAATATTTAACTTAAAGAAAAAAAAAATCCTAACAAATATTTTGCATGAAAGGTCATCTTTAAGCTCAATATGTAACATAGGTAAGCAATAAATTATCTCTGTCTGTCTGTACAATGTTTATACTAGTCTTACTTTTTTCTAGATTTGATTAATTTTTGCTTATATAGAGTATACATAAAAATGTTACATAATACTGTTTTTGATATTGTACATATATTATAAATATAAAGCTTACTTTCAGGACATAGTTCCTTAATATAAAAGGGTTAACATGAGACGGAAAACACAAGAAATTCTTAAACTTGTCAGCAATTTTACCAAAAATTCATCTGAATTGAAGAAAGAAGTAGATGAAGTGGAAATGGAAATTAATTACTTAAACCAGGTACATATTTTAACAGGTTTCTAATGTTTGTATTAATATGAAAGCATAATGGGTGGTAGCCTTAGAAGAGCTATTTTTGACAGAGCCTAAACATAGAGAAAGGCTTAAAATTTTGAAGTAAATTTTAAAGAAATTTCTATTGAATTTAGAAAAATTATTATAAAACAATAAAGCATGCTTCTTTTAGAGCTCAGTGATATTTTTCTACAAGTTTGTTTTAAATTCAATTTGAGTTTCTATATGCTAAATAAGAATTAAATGTTTTTAAATTATCACTAAAAGATACAAGGATTCATATGACACTTTGTAGGTAGTTGAGTTCAAAGAACTGATTTCTTTTCCCCTAATAGAGTCCAAAGGAGTCCTGGTGTGGTGCTGTGGACTAATGCGTCAGACTGCAAAGTCGTTTGAACTACAAGGTCGGTGGTTCAAGCTCATCAGCTGCTCCTTGTAAACCCTACACAGGGTCGCGATGGGTCGGAACCAACTCAATGGCACCTCACAACAACAACAAACAGAGTTCAAAAGAAAACCTCTAGGGCTAATAGAGTGATTTTGCCAACTTGTAGAGTACAAGATCAACAACAATCATGTGTATTACTATACACAATGAAATAAGAAATTTGAAATGGAAATTAGGGAAACAATTTTATTTACCATATTATCTAAGAGAATTAAATACCAAGGACTAAATCTAACCAGGGATGTGAAGGATTTGTGCATTGAAAGCTATAACACCCTGCTGAAAGAGATTAAAGAAGATGTAAATAAATGGAAAGATGTTTCATATTTATGGGTTGGAAGACTTAATATTAAAATGTCAGTGCAATCCAGAGCAATCTATAGATTCAACACAATCCCAATAAAAATTCCAACAGCCTTTTGCACAGAAATAGAAGAACTAATCCTCAACTTTATAGGAACTGGCAAGAGGCCCTGAATAGCCAAAGCAATGTTGAAAGAGAACAACAAAGTAGAAGGACTCATACTTTCTTACTTAAAAACATACTATACAGTCCATATTCATTTGTCAATTTGTTATACTTTGGTGACTTGTGTGTTGCTGTGATGCTGGAGGCTACACAGAACAAAAGTTGGTGTGGCGCCATAGGATAAGCACTTGACTTCAAGATCAGTTTGAACTACA